AACAATAATCTGCAAGTTGTGATTTTCAACTTCTGCAATAAACTGTGGAAAGGGCTGCTAATGCTTGCGTATACTTTGATATTGTATCATCCAGGACCAATCGATCATAGGTAGCCAGACATGCTAACATTCACAGCTTAGGTGACACTGTTATATTGTCGATAAAAAGTATTGACCCCCATTAGAAGTTTTCACCTGTTTTTGCTTTTGACATTGGATCATTGTCATTTGGCTTATTTGACATGACTTTACAAAAAACCCTGAGTGTTTCATGGCAAAATGAAACAGATATCTTCCAAGCAAAGCCAGTGAATTACTAATAAAAAATATAAAGTAAGTGACTGGTTAAGTATTCACCCTGTTCACATCAGTATTTAGTCGATGCACTGTTGGCTGCAACTACAGCACTAAGCCTGCATGGATCGGTCTCAATAAGACTTGCACATCAAAACAATTTTACCCTTTTCTTCTCTGCAAAACTGGATCAGCTCTGTCAGCTTTCATGGGGATCATGAGTGAACAGCATTTTCAAGTCCAGCCATAACTTCTTAATTAGATTGAGATCTAGGTTCTGACTTGGCCACTCCAGAACGTTCACCTTGTCTTTAAAGCATTTCCGTGAAGCTTTGACGGTATGTTTATTATGATGCTGGCAAAGAACTTCATGCAAGATGCTTTTTTCTTGCAGACTGCATCAGGTTCTCTTTGAGGATTTCCGTATACTTTGCTGTGTTTGATTGACCCTTCCAGGATAAAACTCCAGGGCCTTCTGCAGAGATGTATCCACATCATGATGCTGCCACCACCATGCTTCAAGATTGGATTGATGTGTTGTAGAAGATGTGCAGGGTTAGGTGTTTTCTGATGTGTTTTCTTTTCCGATGGCCTGAAAGCTCCATTTTGGTCTCATCAGATCAAACAATTTTCTTCCATTTGACATCAGAGTCTCCTCCCACATGAACTCTGATCAAGGATCTTTCAACAGTGGTTTTCTCTTTGCTGCTCTCCCTTTAAGTTTTGACTGTTCAAGAACCACCAGTTGTTGTGTGTATCGTCTCATCCATGTCAGCTGCTGAAACTTCTAACTCCTTCAGAGGAGTCATAGGTGTCTTGGTGGCCTCCCTCACTCGTCTCTGTTTTGCACGGTGGCTCAGTTCCTGAGGAGGACCTGCTCTCGGCAGAATGACCCATGTGTCGTATTCCTACCACTTCTTAATGATGGATTTGCCTGTACTCCAAGGGATATTTAGTGACTTGGACTTTTATTGTATCCTTCCCCTAACTTGTGCTTTTTAATAACCTTTCAGTCTGGAGGACTGATTTGCTAGTGACTGGACCATCCAGATTCAGGTCTATTTATACCACTATCACTCAAATGATCTTCGTGTCACTAACAGATTGACTTCTAGCACAAATTGGCTGCACTTGTGTTACATTAGGTGGGTAACTTTAAAGGGAGTAATACCTATGCAATGACTTATTAAATATATTGAATTAATTGCCCCTACTTTATAGAAATCAGTTTTCACTTTGACATGAAAGAGTCTTTGTTTCAAATATTTTTTAGTCCAGAAAGCTCAANTCATACCCTGTTAGAAAAAAATCGAAAATGAAAAACGTCTTAAATGCAAAGTCCAAATGATTACCACACAAAAATAGGAAAAATAAATGGACTTTCTGTTAAAAGGCGCAAAAAATACTCAGCATACCTTGATTTGAGTGCTTCTGTCTCTGTTTTTCTTCTTCAACTAAGTAAATCGTATCACAAATTTATAAAACTTAATCAAATGAATATATTTTAGAACAGATTCTCTTTTTTATTACATATTTATTGCAAGTTGTGTAAGGTTTATTTTAACTAATCTCAATAGGTTTGTAAAGAAATGATTGCAAGATGTGTTCCTGCATGTTTCTATCATTATCAGTTAACAATAAATGTTTAGAATCATTAAAGCATAACAGGAAGTGAGAATAAAGGTCTACTTTATTACTTTATTACTATTTACAGTATGTTTTCCTGTTTCATTTACACGTTTGGCTTGTTCTTCACAACAAATGTGCTTTGGTGGGAACATTTTCAGCGACCCACCGTGTGCTTTTATTGTGAAAGGCATGTTTTTGTTTTATCACTGCTCATGCCAGAGGCGCTTCAGGACTTTATTGTGATTGCTCGGGGATTTATAGCAGTAGTCGTTTAGAATTTCAGTGAACGGTGTTGCTGAGAATTTTTGATTATATATTTTTTTAAAGATCATTTTATTTCCAGCGTCGCACCGGAACCTTTGGTGCTCTCTTTCTGCACCTTTACAGCGGAGGGGGGCAATGAAAGGAGTGACGCCGCAGGATAAACAAAACGGAGGCGGAGGAGCAACAGCAGCAGCAGTAGCAGGAGCCTGTATCCGGACATTTTACTGAAATATCACCCAAAATGCAGTCTTCCAGGAGGAGTGAGAGTGACTGGCAGGGGCTGGTCAGCGAGGTGAGTGAGCGGCGGAGACCGAGCACAGATGCAGCAGAGGCGGGCGGATTTTGCAGCTGCTTCCCTGGTCCATATGGAACCAGCTTGTCGTGCGATCATTAGACCCGGAGGCTGTTTAATGTCGCGTCAAACTCTACTTTCTGCTGTCAGCATGGAAGCTACTTGACGTTAGCTAGCTGTTCCGTGAGGCCGACAGCATCACCTGCCCACCGCTTAGTGGTGGTGTGTAGGACCCACCTGTGGGCCCGTGTTTACTTCTTAACATTAGTATTATACATTCCTTTAAGCCTCCTGTAAATGAGTAAGGGGTAAGAAGAAGCCCAACCATTATAGTCCTCCTCCTGAACGCAGTTAGCTTTAATTTCAGGTCTTTAATTTTATTTGAATTATAGCGGTGTTGCGCGTCTTTAAGTAGCATTTTAATTACCCAGAGGGAATTTAAAAGTCTTTTTTTATATGGATATACATCTCCTTTTTTTTTTTTTTTTTTTTACTGTTTACATTAGAGTTATGCGAAGGGTTATGTATTAGTTTTAACAAAAAATAGCATACTTTTTTGGTATTATGTGAAACTAATTTATTTTATTTCCAAATATGGACATCAATGATTTTGATTACTCTGGCCTTGTTGATGCTAGTTTATATATATAAAAATTACGTTCACCAGAATCTAATACAACCACATTAAAGCTTGTCAGAAATAAAAATGTGTAATTTTAATGCTAACTATACCTGACTTTATTTTAAGCTAAGAGCATTATGCTATATTAGCTAGCTGTAGCGCAAAGCTAGCTGGCTAGCTTGAGTTCTGTGCTGCGTTGTGTGATGAGCCGACTGTTGCCGACTTGTACAGCTACAGAAATCAAATGATAGAACAACATACTTGAACTGGGAAAGTAAACTTAGAAGTGAAATTATATACATTAGACAACACAGATAACAGCAGCGCAGTCTGGCCTACCTCTCCCACAGAATACATCAACGAAAGGGGAGCGTTAAGGCGGGAAAAATGTATTCATAGGGCACGGTGGGCAACCAAAAAGGAACGTGGGGTACTGAGACCCTAAAATGAAGGTTCCACACCATCACCAAAGGTCAGACCAGATTTTGGGTAATTCTAATAATGAAAGTAATAACAATAAAATAACAGTAAATTAAAAATATATATGGTACATTATGTATAACTAATATAACAATACATATATATTTAATATAGAACCGCTGCTGCACAACAGACCAACTAGTGTCAGCCAAGTGTCGTTTTTGATTTGACATGATTTTTTTGTCACTAATTTGAATATCAGTGATAATATTGTTATAGTAAAGTCCTAACTTTTGTTCAGTGTCTCTCATGATTTTCATTACTCCAGCGTTGTTAATGCTATTTTTTAACTAAATTGTGCTCACCAGAATCTAATATAACCACATAAAAGCTAGCCAGCATTAAACATTCATCATTTTATGTCCATAATGCTAACTATGTGTCTTTATTTAAAGCTAACAGTGTTATGCTACATTAGCTTGCTGTAGCGCAAAGCTAGCTGGCTAGCTTGAATTCTCAGCTAGTGTCGGCTAAGTGTCACTGTTTGACGTTATTTTTTTGTCACTAATTTAAATATCAGTGATAATATTGTTGTAGTAAAGTTCTAACTTTTTCTCAGTATCCCTCAGCTCTAAATTAATTGGCAATAGGGACAAAAAATGTCAAAAGTAATTTCTGTAGGTGCTAGCTAACATTTATGTGGCCGTTAAAGTCAGAGCAATGTCAAAACTTTGAAATAATGTCAATGTGATGCATGAACATGTTTATATTCATCAAAAATACGACTTAGGTAAGAAGAAGATGCCCCTTTTTCAAGGTTTAATATTTAACTGTAATAACAAAGTCTGTCTGAATTTGTTCCCTTAAGCATACTTCTTGTGTGTATACTTAATACTTGGTTTTATTTACTGAAAATGTCAAATTAGACTTTTTTAGATATGTGGAAACTCAACACTGATGGTGAATTATTAGTGACAGTGAGATTTTGAAGACAAAACTAACAATAAAAATAATCTTTACTTGTTTCTCTGTATAAATTTGGGATTGTGGTTGAGCTCCAGGCCATACGTTAAACTTTACTACTGCTGCTGTTTGATTACGAGCTGATTCACATACAGTCTGTGGGCTTAAACTGTTCTTTCAGCTGCGTGTTATCTACACACTTGCCCCAGTGTGTGTTTTTCCACCTGTAGAGTGCCGATCAGGGTTGGTTTCTTTCATACAGTCAAGTGCACTGAACAGAAATATAAACACAGCATGCAAATGGTCTCGTGTGACTTCAGGGAAAAAAGTTAAAAATCTAATTTCTATAGTTTTGGTTAGAAAAGCCGGTTGTACACAAAAAGGTTCTGAGCTGTTGACCATTGACTTCACCCACATCCTAGCCAGGTGTGGCTTTAAAGGACAACCATCAGATACTGTGAGCAGCCACTATAAAAGGCCTCCTTAACATGCGGCGTTATTCAAATAACAGGACGACAAGCTTGTTGGCAAGCTGGCTGCTGGCATGTCCTGTACGACTCCACCATTTGTCACGTAAGAAAATGTGTAAGTTCTGTCCGCAATCATGAATTTCGCGCACGGTTCTCTGTGCATTGTTTGCTGCAGTTCCTGGTGTGCAAACGCAAACTGGAGAGTAAGAAAGAGGCGCTGCTCATTCTGTCCAAAGAGCTGGATACCTGTCAGCAGGAGCGAGACCAGTACAAACTGATGGCCAACCAGCTGCGAGAGCGCCACCAGGGACTCAAGAAGAAGTACAGGGAACTCATTGTGAGTGGTTCAATAGTCGCCTGCAACACGATTTTAGAAATCATTTCCAGACAAGTGTTTGTACCCTGATGCATGATATGGTATCTGCTAGTTTGATTTGATGATGAAACATTTACAAATGGTGTCTTTCTTTCATGTTTTAGGATGGCGACCCGTCTTTGCCGCCAGAAAAACGCAATCAAGTAAGTTGTTGTTGAGTTTGAGGACAGGTATCTGCCTTCATTGGGTTAAATTTCAGATCATGGTTGATTAAAAGTGCTCCTTCCCCTTGTTTTGTTTACTAAGTTTGGTAAGAATGCCAGATAATTGTGATTACAATAAAGGCTGGGAAGGACTTGTAGGGGCCTTGCTTGGTGGTGCTTTCAAGGACACTGTGACAAACAGTTGGTTGAAACTCTTTGCACGTTTATTTCACGAGGCCGATGTGTAGGACAGGGACGAACATGTGCAAAAGTTTGAAACCCACTCCTGCACACTGTCTGAGGCCACGTTTACACATAGCCGTGTATTTACAAAAACGGATCTACGTTTTCAAAAATAACATTGTTCACAGCAGATCATTTTCAAAAACATCTTCGTCTACACAAACCCGCATAAACACGTCGTTAAGAGCTGCTATGAGCATGCCAAACCTATAGGGGGCAGTGTAACGAGAAGCATAAAGCCATGCTTGCCAACGATAATGGTGCAAGGGTCGTTTGTTCGGACCGACAGAGAAGTGGAGCTACTCCCAAATGTGGCGTTAGAGTACGCAACAAGTAAAATACTTGAAAATATTGACTTTCTATCACAGCAGCCAAACTGTGAACATGGTCACACACATATGACGCTGATTTGGTCGGATACTGTGACGTCAAACTCCGTCTCCTCCTGTCAACATGCAAATGTAAAGACGGAGTTTTTCCAAATCCCCACTTTCACAGGAGTTTTCAGATATGATCGTTTTTTTGTTGCATGTAGCCTCGTTTAAACCAAAGGCCCAAACGCATTGAAATGTCACCGTTTTTGCTCCGTGTAAACGGGGCCTAACTTGCAAAAATACATTCATACGTGACGTTTAGTTGCTTGACCTTCATCAGACAATCATCAAAATATACGCATGTCAAATTACACAAGAAGTCTGGACAATGTGGAGGAAACATGAGAGTAAAACCACATAAAAAGCAGCAGAGTTGTGAAAAGGAAAATGTTGATATTTACGCGAGTTTGCATTGATTATTTCTGTGATCCAGATAGGAATGTAGAGATCTAAGGTGTTTGATATTTTATGTTATAAAACTGTATTCTAGTACAGTTTTGTATTAGTCTTGTTAAGGCGCCCTGTGTCTTGTTTTAAAATTATTTTTACAATTTTAGATGCTCGGACAGTTAAGCAAACAACTTTATCTCTGGGCTGCAGAACAAAGCTCCTATGAAGGATTTCTATTGGTGGTTGACAGATCACGTGGTCTGACACAAGCTGGTTCGCGTTCATTCTCCTCCTCCTGCTCCTCAGGTGAACCTGGCTCAGCTGCTGAGGGACTCAAGGGAACGAGCGAAGCAGCTTGCCGAGGAGGTGAAGGAGCTCACTCAGAGGCTTGCGGAGGCCCAGGGAGATAACAAGGTGCAGTCACCGGCGGCAGCAGCAGCAGCAGCAGCAGCAGCAGCAGCAAACACACAGACTTGTACACGCTTTAAGTACCAATTGAGCGCAGGACGCTTGATCTGGCGCATGAGAAAATGTGTTTAAGGGAAGCAATGAATGGCTTTTCTGCAGCTCCTGAGGATGACCATTACCCGACAGAGGCTGGGGGATGAGGAGGTCGGGGTGCGCCACTTCCCCGCCCACGAACGTGAGGATTTGGTTTGCCAGCTGGAGAGAGCGGGGCTACAGGTTGGTGTATTTCTTACCTTAAAATGCTTTATCACTTTTTGTTTTTATTAGGGTGCTGTCACATCACTTTGGCCTGCGCTTAGTGCAGCTGCATTAATCTTTGATCAGCTGTGAATTTTAGCTTTCTGTCTGAACCACTCACAGTTAATGTTTAGTGACACACTCGCGCCACGTTTGTGACTGGAACTCTTCCAAGCACTCAGGAAGAGAAGCAGGAACTTTATCTGCATTTTGAGCGCCGCAAAGGTTCGTTCTGTGGGCGCAGTAGTCACGCTCAACATCCCTCTGGGTGCCAGAACTCATATGCAGACTCATTCACACATTTACATAATACGCAAGCGCTGGTTGCCAATAAGGTCATGTTTATTGATGTTCAAATCGACGTAATGTTGTGGGCTTGCCTACGAGAATAAAAGGATAAAGAGAGGATGTGAATGAGCTGAGAGCAGGAGCAAAAAAAATAAGTGTGTTTCTAGAGGAACACATGTAACCTGCTATTTGTTTTGTATTCGTCAGCAGAAGCTAATAAGTCGCAGCAGATTGTCGCAACTTTAGAAACAGGCACTCTGGAGATTTTCATGTTCTTTTCATCACATCCACTCAGACATTCGCGTGGCGCTACAGTAAATGCAATGAAGGTTTGTACATAAATGAATTAATGGTAGCTTATTGTTGATTGTTTCATCTCGACAGTTTCTCGAATATGGTCTGCAAAATAGACGTGAGCCCCTGTGGCTTCATAAATCCTAGAGAGGAACTTATAATGAAGAGATAAGTTCAACATAGATTCCTTGAAGCTGAATCACATTTTACCTTGTGCATCAAAGTGCTTCTCACTTTCCACTGGAAATACTCTCAAATCCACAACTTGTGTCACCTCTTTCATCTGCAGTACTTTATCTCTGAGTGCTCTTTATATGACGTTGATTGATATTAAAATGTGGCGTTATTATTATTGGAAACATCCTCCCTTTACTCTAAAAACTTGCATATTATCTTCATGCATATGTTTGTTGCAGCAGTGATGGTGGTTTGTATTGCGTTGATAAAACTTTCTCTCCTCTTATATCTGCTGCTGAGCAACTCACTTAACTTGTGTCTACTGTAGTGGGAGCCACTCGGCTGAAAACAGTAGACGAGGTTTCCCAGTGGGGAGCTCCTAAGTTGCTGATTGCTGAAAACGGCGTATGCACTCTCAGCAAACTCTACTTTGATGTAGAAAGCTTTAGAATATCTCTGTGACTTGAACCGTTCAGTGGCTCCTCTCACAAACATTTTTTGTGCCTGGGTGACTTTTTTTTTTTTTCTCTAGATGGAAGAGATGGAGCACAACGTGAAGGCCCTGACGGACGAGCTGCAGGACGTGAAGGCGGAACGCAACGTGTTCAGGGAGAAGGCCGACCGGCTCAACGTGGAGCTTAACCACATTTTGGGGAACCGCGAGGCACGTATCATCGATGTGGACGCCCTCTGCATGGAAAACAGGTGAGTGGGATGTCGAGAACCACAGTTATTACACTTGATCCACTTCTAGTTCTCGCAGCTCTCCAGACGAGCTTCTAAGAAAAGCTTTGTCTGCACTGCTTCGCCACAACATTAAAACCACTTCAGTGGACGACGCTGATCCTTAATACTGAGTAGGTCGACTTCACAAGACCCCTGAAGGACGCAGTGAGGTGTTGTTTTTCCAGCACGTCCCCACAGATGCTGCTTTGGATGGAGATTTGGAGGCTGAGTCAACACTTTGTCGTGTTTGTCAAACTATTCCACAACAAGTGCAGCAGCAGGGAGCATTAACCCTACTTAACTTTAGTTTTGTCGTTATATACCACATAAAAACTTGTTTAGCGTGCCCGTGTTTGGTATCTTTTCTTTCAGCACAACATAATCTATATGATCTGACTATTATTTCTTCACTTTAACCTACGATATAAACATTTTGGCTCAAAAACTCACAATAAATATAAAATCAGATTTGAAAAAATGGTTATTGGTTACAATAAAAACCACGAACATGCTGAACAAAGCATGAAAGTTGAAAATGTAAGTTGCAGATATGAATATGAAAAGGTAAGTTTGATATAAAATCAAACTAAACACAAATATTTGCAGCTATATACAAAGCAGGTGTGGCTTTCTTTTTGTTTTTATCCATCCCACTCCTGAAAATAGTTTCTGTCCAAAATGAGGCAGACAGCCACATCACAGGACCTGCACTTCCAGGAACTTTCTTTCACTTTCGTTTTATAAAACGCCGAAAAATTGACAAAGATGTCGAAAGAAATGCGACGCCGGCAGCACATATTTCATACTTACGCTTATATTTTACACACATTTTTTTTTTCATGCATGTTCATAACATCACATCTCCGGTTTTACGTGGTCTACCGACATGAAACAAAAACGAGGAGAGAGTTTAAAGTCTGCACTTTCGATTGAAGTTGACGGCATAACCACGCTAGTTTTTCTGTCGTGACGTTTCGAAAATGTCATACGATTATATTACACCAGCGTGACGGCAGACTGCTAAAGGTTAAGCTGCTGGAGGAGCTCACTGAAATCAGGAAACCCTGCATCCATGATGGATTGTACGTGGTCTGCTGCCAAGCTCATGGTGGTCAATGCCAGAGGGCTGTGCTACGAAGCGAGATGAGTGGATCAACAAAGTCTGAGTTTTCATTAATCAAGCTAGATCACCATGGTAACTAATGCTGCACGGCTGACCCGTTCCGGAGCGGGTTGTGTTCGGAGTTTGGGATTTCAACCAGCTGTTAGAAGCGTCTCCTTTTCACCAGTTTGTTTCCTGATGGTTGTCTAATACAGATACAGGAGGCAACCTGCATACATTGCACTTGCTGGTGATGCAGAAAATGCATAAATATGTTTCTAGACTTGATCCTGATGTGCTGCCAAGTCAGTTTTCCACTGCTGATACTGCAGCCGATAGAACACAGAGTAGAAAACCAATTAGTCTGTTGGTATTTATTGCAGAGCATGTTTAATCAATAATTAAACACACTTTGATTTGGCCAAAAATTATACTGATTTGCACTTGTCCTTCATTTTGTGGCAGCGTCAGACAAAAAAAAAGCTTCAGGTGAATGAAGTTTGAAGTTGAACAGCTCTAATGTGCAGCTGTCACGTTAGAAATAAGCAGCTGCGTTGAGAGTGTGCTGACAGATGAAATAAATGTATTAGCTTTCACGATGAACACCAGCCTCTCTTGCATATTTAGTTCGAGCAGCGCTTTTTACCGTCATCGGTTCCTCTCAGCTCTCCATTATAACCACCTGTTCGTCTTGACCGAAGTCTGTGATCGGTCCACTTTGTGCAGAAGAAGAGTCACCATGTGATGCATTAAACATCCCCCTTTCATGTTGAACAGAGACAGCTGATAGCCGCCATTGTGGTACCTCTGTGTTGGGGTTTGAAGTTTTGTCGAGCCGGCTTCCACAAACAGAGCCCGGCTGTGTCAGACGTGCTTCGTGCTGAGCAGAGCACCTCACAGAGCATCACACTGCCTCCTCTCAGTGGCCTTCTTGCCATCGTGCATCACGCTGCCATCTCTGCTCCAGGTATGCAGAAGCAGCCCGCCGTACACATGATGCTGAAGGAAACGTGATGTTCTGACACTCCTGGGACCATTTTGGGTCCTTTTGGTGATGACCAGGGGTCGACTGCTGCTACATAGCTCTGTATACTCTTTGTTCTGGTCCCTCTCCATCGTCGCCAACATTCAGGTTTTCAGCAGTTTGTGCTGCAGTAACTCTTTCATGGGATTGCACGTCTGTCACTGAGCCTTGGGCATTCATGACCCTGTTGCTGGTTCACCAGTTCTCCTGCTCGACACCAGGAACACCACCGCAGAGCTCCAGCCATCACGATTTAACCACGATAAAAGTCGCTCAGCTTCTTCCATTTGCCCATTTTCTTCTTTCCAACCCATCAACTTCAAAACTCACTGCTCACTTGCTGCCTCGTATATCCTCCTGCATGACAGGTGCCACTGTAACGAGATAATCAGAGTTATTCACGTCACCCCTCAGCGGTTTTAATGTTGTGGCTGATCAGTGTACGTGTCTCTCTCTCAGATATGTGCGTTTTGACTAATTGTGCCTTTAATCATTGTTGCTTTAGGTATTTGCATGACCGTTTCAGCCAACTTCAAGAGGAGGTGAACCTGCTGAAATCAAACATCATGAAGTACAAGGTACGACTGTAACGCCTCTGTTCAAATGGAAACTGACGTCGAGGCTTTAAACCCTGACAGGACTCATTTTTCTAAACGAGTGTGTTTTTATAAATGCACTGAAAGCAAAAGAAGCCGCTTTTATTCAAAACGCTCATCAAACTCGGCAGGACGAGCTTCACTCTCTTGTTTTCCTCTCCCCACAGACAGCCCTTGAGAGGAGGAAAAACTCGAGCACATATGGGAAATCAAACAGCAGTCCTCTAACTGGTGTCCTCTCAGCCAAACAAGGTGAAAACGCAAACTGTTCGGCTCGCTTTGAATTCTCTTTCAACTCAGACACGGATAGATGTGAGAGCAAGCTGATCTGGAATCTGTAGAAAGCCAGAAAAATGTTGTCCGTCACCTTTGTTTTTGAGCATGCCGGTGCTTTTTGATCGAGTAAACTCTCCAACTGATGGTCTGTCTTCAGCATAACAAATCAGTTTCTTTGTTTAGAGCCATGTCTTTCTGCATTATTTAATAACCTGTTTTTTTTTTTTTTTGCCGATCCTTCAAGCCAATGCCCGGACACCAGCTGGGTTAGTAATTGTATTCTGAGTGGTAGAGAGCACCACTGGCAGGGAAATGAGCCTGCCACGATGACTGACAGTTGCTGGCAGAAGCAGCACAGTGGGCTCTGGAGTTAAAGTTAGGAGAGTGTCACCTAGCAGACAGCTGTTTCTAACTCTCCATCTCTGTCTTGCTCTTGTCATGCTGTTTTTCCCCGTCTCTTGTTATATCACCCTCTTGTCTCTCTTATCTATTTTTAAGCCCAGTATATATAGCATATAGCTTTCTCCCTCCTTTTGGTAATCCCTTTCCTCTGTTCCCTTCCCACCAGTCTCCCGTGCATCATCTGCTTCACCCCCGTTTTTCTCTTCCCCACCCTCCTCTCCTTTTTTAGTCCAGGAGATGCTCCTGGAGGAGCAGGGCTGCAGCCTGCCGGCCACGCCTCAGTCCATCTCCGACCTCAAGTCCTTGGCCACTGCGTTGCTTGAGACCATCCACGAGAAGAATCTGGTCATCCAGCACCAGAGGCACACCAACAGGTAATAGGAGGTTACAGGCCTCTTTCACAAGGGTCACCTTTTAACTTGAACCACCTGACGAGCTTATGATGTTTGACTACCTGCTACAAGAATTCTCCACCTCAAAGGCAAACACGGAGCTGTAGCACTTGAATACACACAAGTCTGAAGAAACCTGACCTTTCTTACTCGGTCTGCAGGATCCTGGGAAACAGAGTTGCAGACTTGGAAAGAAAGCTGAAGACCTTGGAGGTTTCAGGACTATGGAGTCTTCCGGGTAAGCCGAACCGCTAAGCTGCCCCACAATGCTGTCTCCTTAGTGAAGCCCTGAAATGGTCTAAATCTAACATCAAGCTCTGTTCAGTTATTAAACAGTTATAGACTAGTGGCATTAATTTGAAAGTCATTCATCACTTTAAGCTTTTACATTTTTTGTTTCGGCAACTTTTTAGGAAAAGGAACTCTTCACACATCAATATCATGAGACAGGTGCAGAGGAGCGGTGCAAGTTTCATACAGAAGTTTCACACAGACTCCCGCACAGTTTCTAACTTGCAAGAATACATTTATTAGCGATGTCTCTGTCTGAGAAGTTCATCCTCAGTCTCTTCTTTCATATAGCATGGGTAAAATCCTAAGATATGAATGCTCAAAGCCTGCCAAGGGCCAAAACTGCATTCTCACGAAACCTAAATTAATTGGAAATATTTCTGTTGCTCATTTTGTGTGACTGAAAAAATGTCATTCGGTGGAATATTCTGTAAATGACGTCTCCCTATGATATGTGGAGTTCATTGGTAGCGGATGGCTTCTCTGTGAACCACTGCAACGTCGCTCATAAATATGTTCTTGCAAGTTAGCCAGTGTGCAGGAGTGTGTTGGAAATTTTTAAGAATGCAGTTAGTGTTAAGGAGGTCAGTTTTATAGTTGCAAACTCGCACATGATTATCAATAACTTTCCAGTTTTCCATTGAAAAATCCGCATCCATTTGAAAGGCCTTGTAAATGGCCTGTGAACACAGCAGGAGAAGGCCGGCACAGGCAGGCTGGGATCTGCACCACACCATGAGCAAACACCACCATGTCGCTGAGTGTGTGTGCACATCGTACATGCTGTTTATTTTAATAAATTAACATCGAAACTGCCGATGATAAAACTGTGCACAATAAATTGCGCATTTAAATGTGAACTTCTTGTTTTATCACCTTTGTCTTTTTAACTATAACCCACAAAGATGTTCTGTTATTGTTCTCACGAGCCAACAGGTTAAGATTTATTCCCCTTCTTCTTCTTCTTCTTCTTCTTCTCTCTATCCCTCTCTCTCTTTTTTTTTTATCTAAACAGATTAATGAGGTTTTATGTTCATAACAGTGTGTCTCTCTCTCCTCTCTGGCTGCGTCTCAGGCTTGACCTACCACGTATCCGTGGGAATTGGGAGTATGTATTCCTTCTGCCCCACTTAGCCCATCCATGCCCTCCACTATGTCATGCCAGGACAAATCTGGGCAGACGCCCAGAAAACATGGTCACCTCATGCCCACCGTTTACAATGTGTCGACTCCATTGACCACCAGCTCATGTGTCTGTTCATGATACCATTGACTGAATCAGGCTGCCTGAATATCACACTCTGTTCCTTTTGGTCCACTGGGCCTGTCTTCAATTTTACACACGGGGGTAAAAAAAGAAAAAAAAGAAAAAGACTTCTCTTGAATGTTAAGGTTGGGCGTGTTTTAAGGACAGCAGAGAGCTTTTTAAGGCAGCACATTACTGTTAAGTAGTAGTCCATTTAAAACTGCGTTCAGATTCTCACAGGGAAGAATGTGAATCATAAATTGTGCGAGAAGACTGAAGGCTGTCGTATTGCAGACTGATATATGCTGTAGACGGCGTGTGATGGGGAAAATTAGCCGGATGGTTTTTAGGGTGTAAATGGGAAGAGGAGGAGGCTGTAAAATCTGCTGCGCTTAAAAAACCCACAATTACTCATACTTTGCTATTTCATTGTGGACCTATATTTACGCGTGTACTTGTGAAGCAAATCCAGGTTTATTAAAAAAACAAACAAACAAAAAAAAACACGCAGTTTTCATAAAATCATCACATGGAGCAAATAGAAAAAGCTGCCAGCTGCTTCTCCCCTGAAAGCAAACTGTATTCTCAGTGGGAAAAAAAAACACTCCACAATCTGCAAAGTACGGTCTCAGATTATATTTGCAATCTGAAGCCAGGACACCTAGAAACCAGTTCCCCGTTCTCCCCACTGGAGGGAGATGTTGTGCCGTCTATGAACCAGACTGAAAGGTGGAGGGGCTGCGGCTGGATGGAGGTGCCCTGTCATGAGACCGTCATTCTCTCCGCCATAAAACTGACAAGCATCCATTACTGAAAATGATTGCCCACATTACAAACACATTTAGGGGAATGTGCCGTTATTAGGGAATTTGTAGGCGAGGGCCCAGAGTGCCTGACGACCACGCTGTCCACCACAGTTAGGGAGACAGAGATATAGAGAGAGATGTGAGCGTCTGTGGCCTTGATGTGATATGAAGTTGGGCTGATGGATATTAAAGGCAAACAGGATAGGATGGAGGGCCTTGGCTGCCTACCTGAGGCCCGGAGAACACTAAAGGTGACTACATTGTCTACGGATGAGAGAGAGCCAAAAACAATAACAGTGACATCGATGCAGTGAGTCAGATAAAGTTGTGATTGATAGATCTCCCCGGTCCTCCGGTTCACCCTACCCCCATGCCGAATGAGTGCAAGCTGAAATGTAACATTGCAAGTGAAAGCCTGTCAGTGTGCATCAGCTATTGAAAAGACAGAGGTGGGTACAGAGTGCACCCATATAGCTCTGTTTTGGTCTATTGACAGACTTTTTCCAGTTAAGAGGAAGGCATTTCTTGTCACCCTAGAGCTAGACAGCGCTGCATCCCAGTGAAGGTTTGTGACTATTTGACAGATATGTACACCTCTCCTCTTTTTGTCGTCTTATTTCTGATACAGGGTTTATGATCCGGTGTGTTGGGGTGTCACATCGTGCAGTGTAGTCTGTTATTTGTGCATATACAGTGTGCTGTAGGTGCTTCAGACAAGACGGGGAGATGCTTAGATGTCTGGACAGGCAGCTGCCAGGGAGGCTTAAAGAAAGTCACCACTGCTTCTTGGAGACACAACTGCTGTGCTCAGTCTGGGCTTTGCTCTGCATAAGTAATAACCGGCACCGCCTTATTATTGGCTTTAAAGGGCGGTCTGCGGATCTGTTTCAGAACCTCCAAGACTGGGCTTGGATTCAATGGCACAGTCTTGGAGCCGTTGTTGGTTAAACTTAACGAAGGAATTCTTTTGAGAGGTGTAGTATGATGATACAAGATCTTGATACCAGCATCTTGAGTGGCATGCCAGTGGTCACAGCGATATACAACTCATCAGTGTCACTGGTTTTCTTGGGTTTGTGTGGATCCTCACTATCAGATAATGCACACTTCGAGTATTACAGATCTGTTACCTGGTTGTTCCACCAGGTAGAGCCTCTCACCGTTTAGCGCTGTAGAGATCAGAGCATCGGGGCAGTTTAGCTCGTAAAGGAGCACCGTGACAGAGGTTTTCTGACCTTAGGCTAGCGCTACGTTAAGCAGGCAGTGATCCTACCTTCCAGTAGAACCTCTTACAGCCATTTTTGTGACTGTTTTTAATGTATGAGTGTAACAAGAGATGTAAACAAAGTCTTGGGTACAGGTTTGTGCTGATACCGATCACTTCAGCCCTAGTTTAGATGTTACGATCGGGCTTCAGACATCCCTAGTTGTAGAAACAATCATCACCGTCCATGTCTGGTTTCGTGGCAGTCCACCATTTTGTTCAGATATTTCAGTCTGGATCAAAGTGGTGACATCGCAGATAAAAAAAAAACGCTATCAAGACTAAAACCTAAAACAACCTCTGTGTGTGAAAAATAATTAAAGAAACTTTTTCGGCTACAACTTTTTTTTTGCTCTTCTTCATCCACCCAGCTGGCGTGTTGAAGCTTCAGAGTTTCAACAGCCCCCACCTCCCCCCCTCGCTCACCGTTCCCACATCAGTGTAAACACTGAGCATCCATAACAATATGGACTGCCTTCATAACAATATGGTCTCCGTTCACCACTCATGATTCTCATGCATCGTGTCACCCACTCATCCATTTTCTCATTCTTCTGTTTGTTTTCGTGCCGCACACTCCAACGATCAGAGGAACATGTCGAGTTTTGCCTATTCACGGGGCTCTCTGTGAAGCCTGGTGTGCATGCTTACGGGCTTCTGCGTGTCTTTGTGAATGTAGTTTTGTGTGTATGTTTGTGACGTCTGGTTTATAGTGCAGACTCTCCTATGAGCAGCATATGGTGTCAGCCTAAGAGGCGTGCAGCCATCACTAATGAAGACAGATGACAGGGAGCTGAAGCCTCTTCCTGTGAGCACTGCGATGCATACGTGCGTGCATGTTTGTATGCTGTGTGAAAACGCACACGACGCAGCGACGTACATGCGCTCCATCCAGTCCAACAAGTCGGAATGAAAACTCTTCTTACCGCTTGCTTTGTTTGTGAAAGTAACGGGGAGTGTCTCTGCCTTGGTGCTGCTCTTACAGGGACCCGAGACAGTATCGCACTGAATGAAAACCTTCAACCTGAGCTTCACCCGACACGTGCCACATCTCAGCTAAACATGCAGCCCAAAGTGCAGCCACCCAAAGGTGAGTGTAATTGTGTGTATCTGGCTTCTCCAGCCGTTGATAAGAGGCGCCACAGCTAACGCTATAAACACTGCAATTAGCCGCCGTGTGCTAAACACTCCTGTCTGTCTTCCATGTTTAACCCAAGTCCTTTCCCTTCCCGCCTCCGCTCCTCTCTGCTTCTCATTGGTGCAAGCTGCCCAAATGCCATGGCATTTTGGAAATGTGAAGCAAATTCTCGCCCACTGACATTCAGAAACTTCTGCCGTGTTCTCTTTGAAAGAAGGGTGGGGAGGTGCGGGGGAATGGGGGGGCCATAAATATGGATGCCACTTCAAGTACTGTTGCTTTCTTCTTGCGTGTTTTAGCGTGTGTATATGTGTGGGGAGACGGTGGCTGGGACTCTGTGTGCAGTCTTTAACCTTTTTGCCTGCACATCCACAAATATGGGTCAGTAATCCCCAAAGTGAGAGCATATTTTGGCGAAGAAGCAGAACTAAGCTGTTGCTATTGCCGAGATGCAGGGCGTCACACTTGTCTTGCGTCCCCTTGTCTGGGGCACTGCTGCTGCTATATTTAGCCTGTTGCCATGGAAGCACTTCAGTCACATAAGTAATTGAAATAACTTTCTACACTGACACAGTGGTTCAACTCCAAAAGAGGAAAGTTTTACTTAGAGGATCAACAAGGCTTTTGTTCATTTGTTCCTTCGTATTATGTTGTTTTTGCATACTTATAAACTCAAGATATGAAGCATGAAAGTAATTTGTGAAAATAGTCACAGCTCAAAAAAAAAGAAGTAGCTGTCATGAAACGATTCCTGCACAACAGGAATACGAGAACACCCTCGTCTTATGTGTCTGATAGCACAACACCATCAGTGCAGAATGAGGCACTTGTTTTCAGATGAAGTGACAAATTAAAATGACCAGTCGTCTCATCTTCCTTCTCCCAGTTCTGTCAGACGACAGAAGTTCACATGAATCATCTTGGGAATGCCACACCGCTGGCATTGACCTTGGCACAGATGGCGTCAGCAGGGAAGACGCACCTGCATTGCTCAACAGCCTGGAGCCTCTTGAGGGGGTGGAGACAAATGGGATTGACAGGAGAGGGGGAGAGATGGTGACCCTGACGGAGGATCCAGTCGCCGTGGAGCTGGAGGAGGGGCGGAGTCCGGTGGAGGAGGCAGGGCACGAGGTGGAAGGAGTCGAAGATGAAGAGCTGGGCTCCACGGTGGAGGAAGGAGAGGAGGCGGCGCTGGCGCTGGACGTCCCGCCCACTGAATCAGACCTTCGTTGGCTGTCGATTGAAAAAGCGTCAGTCAATCATTCAGAGGTGGGTCACTGGCCGTGTGAGTCCCAGGACGACGGGTCTGACGATGTACCTGAGCACGACGACGGCTCCGTATCCATTCCAGACAGCCGGGCCGCAGACGTGTCGAGCACGGGCGAGTGGGACATTCACTGTCGATCTGCACAGACTGACACCCGTCTCAGTGACAACCTGGCATGATCGGCGCCACTCAAACATTTTAAAAAGCTTATTTAAATCCTTGTCATTGGTATTGATGATTGCATTAATCATCCCTTGCTGCATTCCCACAACACGACCACTGCTCGCAGCTTTAGTCAATAAACCGGAGAGGAAGCCCTCCTCCTCCTCCTCCTCCTCCTCCTCCAGCCGCCGCTGACGACGTCCAAGGTGCACATTGTATCTCGACGGACTTGTTGCTGCGCGAGAGCAGAACGTCTTGGAAGCTGCATTTATACCCTACAGGAAGAATTCAGCGATGAAAATAACAAATATGGCAGCATCGACTCGTGTGCCCCATATTCCCCTCTGCCTTTCCCCTGCGATAAGATAATCCCAATTGTTTGCTCTCTTACTCTTCCTAAGGGATAAACTGAATGCTGCATTTATTTATTTATTTTTTTTGTGACTCTGAAAGGCATTCCACCAAAACTTGTAATGAATGTGCTGTACATACTTGTGAATTAATAATCTTAATATCAGAGATTCTATTGATGTCTATTCATCTGTATGGGTGAGTCTAACTAATCTGTCAATTTTTATCGTTTCCTTATTTAACAGTTGATATTTTGACGGGACTACACGTGCCTTATATGTGGAAATGCACACTGATATTTATAAATATAAATGCATAAACCTGCAGCGCTGTTGCTCGTTACGTTTCTTTCCAACAATGGTAATCGTACTGATGCACACACATCATATCTGGAAGTTGGTCTTTTACAATCCTCACATACGCGCAATGATTCCCAACCTGGGTATGAATAGAGTGTAGCTTGTTTGAAGAAGAAATAAAACATATACGCTGTCAGCAGAAAGAGTGATGGATCACTAACAGCTACACTAAGAGAAAAATACAGTCGTGACTCAATAATCCGACCCTTAACAATCCGAAAACCTTGCTACTTTAAGGAAAAACGAGCAGAACCCATAGAAAATAGCCTTAACATACGGACAGCCTTGGATTCCGACTTGACATTTTCAGTCACAAATAAGGATGATCTACTATCGTATTATCTGACTGAACAATCCGACAGATTGGCATCCGATTGTTTCGCGAGGTTGATCACATTTCTAATTAAATGCGACTTGTATGTGATCGGCTGTGTGAACGTCATACAACCCAAAAGTGTCCCGCATGCGCAGACGAGGACACGACGACGTCACACAGCGAGCGTGCTCAGTGTTTGCGGAAGTAAACACGGATGGTAACGGTGGTGCGTATCTTGTGATTTTAAAGTTTTTGTTTTCAAAGTAGTTGTCCAACTGGAGCCTGCGCATTTGGTGACAGAACTGTGACCGCTAACTAAACTGGCATTAGCAGCCGAGTACTGCCTGTGCGCTACGGCCACTTCCACCCCATTGGAGCGCTCCCCCGGGGTGGAAGTGGCCGTTCAAGCATCAAGCCCTCCTCGTATCTGGACCTCCGTCTTGACAACCGACATAAAAGAAGGTTTTACATTTAGTGTTGGATTATCGAGTCACGACTGTCGTTAAAGTTTAGCATGAAGTAGCACCTAAAAAGTTGAATAGTTCTGGATAAATGGATTAATCTATAAGTAATGGATAAAAGTAAGAGATTGACAGTTGAAATTAGGGATTCATGATATTGAATGTCAATATGCCAATGTGTCCTCATTTTGGCAAATTCTGATATATGCACATATTTATTCCACCTATTTGCGGAGAATACCAGGTCTCTGCTGTTGTGCAAATGAGTAGAATTCAACACACACCACTTGTTTGGTGTCCTTTGTTGTGCAGGGAATCAAATCCCCCAGACGTCCAACTTATTGAGAAAATTCCTGCTGCATTGATTCATTTTTTTTTGAGACATATCAATCATTAAGTGCTTAAATACAGTATGTAATACCGCTCACACATCTCCACCAGCAGCATTTACACACATCTTAGGAGGCAAATCTACAATATGAATGCATCATGGGGTTCCTCAACCTTGGATTTGTTCAAATACATACGAAAAGCACAGAAGAAAAACACATTATCCGAGCCATTAAGCCCATCCAACAGACGTGTGCCAGGGACAGGTGCAGACAGGAAGTGCGCTGCTTTTTAAATGTACACATTTACTGGGCAAAATCAGACATAAAAAGGAAAAAAAAAAAAGCTTCAACTTACTTGTAAGACATTTTAACAGGCCTGTTGATGCCGATATTCCATTTTCTTTATCAGCAGATACAGGTGAGAACATTATGCTTTATTTCTAGCTTAAATAGATATCTTAAAATGAAGTATAATTTAAAATAAGTAATAGATACATGGGTGAAATAGTTAAAAAGACAAAGAAAACCCGTCAGATGGCCAGAAGTTGTGGATAAATGCCAACATGACCAAACCCGACCTCAACACAATATCCACTTTTATGCAATCAAGAGTGTGAAATATCATCCAGCTTCAGTTCATCTGACACGGCTTTGGATGTTCCTGACAAAAAGGTTGGGAACCGGGTGGCCCGATGGGACCTAAAGCTGGATATTTGTGTCGCCTCTTAAGCTCGAAACCACACAAGCGGGTATTTTATCTGATCAAAACTTCCGCTGATAGAAGCTGACTTTGTGAACTTGGTGTAATGGTTGTTTGAGCTTCCGCACGCACATTGGCTTTGTTTGATGGTAATGTTCTGGACCAGAAAATGAAATTTGCTCTGACTAAGTGCTCACAAGGTTGGTCTCTCATTAATTCTGAATGCAGCAGCCTCGGTGTTTTGCTGATTGTTTGACAGATTTGAGGGGCTTAACTTGATTCTCTGAGAAGAGAATTACTCCGGCACTGCAAATCTACACTTAATTGTGTAAAATTATAGACATTTTCCATTATTACTTGGGTGTTCAAATTAATTTACATATTAAGTAGGTTATGTTGACTGTGTAAAAGCACATTTTATATGATTCTCTATTGTTGTGGGGGTTTGTTTTAGTGTTTTCAGCTAAATATGCTAACAAAGGCACAGTAGGCGTCTCAGGATGATAGAAAAAAAAAAAGTTATTGACACCACAAGTTTTCCAGCACTGCAAAATGGACGCGCAAACACGCCCGTTTTGTCCCGCAGCCAACGTCCAGAGCCCGGTGCGCATTGAGAATGAGCGGCGAGGCCGACTCTTCCTGCGCGCAGGTGACAGCTGGCCTCTCCAGGCAAACACAGCGTCAAAGCCAGAATCCATGAACTGCTTATTCTGCAGAAGGCCACTTGCTATTTTTAATCTCTGACACAAAATAGAGGCGAGGAGAGAGAAAAAGGATTCAAGCTAGGAAGCCGCGGTGTGTACCCAGCGTCGGCGCCGTGCCAGGCAGCTGATTTGGCACGCTGAAGCACGCCCTTTTTTTTTTTCTCTTCTTTTTCCCGCTTTCTTACGTTTAAGTTTATAAACCAGATGGAAACTGAACTAGTGAATTTGCAAGATGATAGCAGCTTGCCATTGGGTTCCTCTTAACGTCATTGATCAATTTTTGATTGTGTGCATGAATGCCTTAAGGAAATTAGCTGGCGTTGCACGTTAGAAAAAGAAAGTGGTGAGCTACAGATACAGGCCTCGTCCACACGGAGCAGGGTATCTCACAAAACGAAGATGTTTTTCTACGATGTTTCCTGTCATCCACACGACAGATTTACGGCATTAACAACGATTCTTTCAAAACCCTTCAACCAAAGTGAAGATTTGCGAATCCTCCGTTTATGCGTCTGCATGTGGACGTCAATAACCGGGTTTTCCAAACGTCATTGCCTGTGACAAAACATGTTCTTTACATCACATACGCGACGTGTGTTTACATTTAGAAACAGCGTAGATGCCCTCAGAACTTGTCCAGGCCCAGATGTCGCTCCACGTACAAGAACACAGGCAAAGGACGACGTTAAGGGCGGCTATTTTCCGCCACCTTGCCATTCCACGTCCGAGGCATGTTCGCCGTCAAAGACACCGACGCCGGTTTTGGGTCAGACCGGTTTTTTTGGTCAGCTCCTGGAGGAATGGCGTGACGATTTTCCCCGTCGTCGCTCCTGTCGTCGGAGTTATTACGTCCTCACGTAGAATATGAATGTGCTTAAAAACGCACTAATGCGGCGAGGTGCGAATTTTTTTCTAAAAACGAGGTGGTGCGTACGCAAGTTTTTTTCGAGACGGAGGGGGCAGGATATTTACAAAACCCTGCTACATGTGGACAAGGCCTCGGGGAAGAAGTGAGCCTCGTGTGGTGCTCTGGGTGGACATGGATTGAAGCTGACTGATTATTTTATTCTGTCCTGCGGTGTAATGTCACTTGAAAATTTTAGTATGAGCAGGAACAAGAGTTTGATTATTAATTGGGGCCAATCAGTAAAAAGAAATCCTGATGCAGTGTCTCCGTTAAATAGTCAACAAAATGGCTTATTTTTCAAATGCTTCGTGTGTAATTACTTGCATAGGATCCTAATCATGATTGGATTTTTAAACTCTCACACACAGAGGTGAGTATCTGGCTCCAAAAAAAAATGTATCAGGTTAAACTAGAAATGAAGAAAATTTGAAGTCGGGGAATTTCTTTTATTCATATTTCAGCACACAGGTGATTTCACGCTCCGGTGAACACGTTGGCAATTTTAAAAAAACAACAAAAAAACAGAAGTATCTGGTGCTGGTAGTACAGACGGAATAGACTTGGAAGTGTGTTTCACTTATTGCTGGAGTTAACTTTGTGCCGCCACACAAACCACAGATATATTATATGAGCTTATACTTGCTTAAGATTCAGCAGAGACCTCGGCGCCTTTGACTGTTAGCCGTCAGGATTTCATTGGCCGGTGTTTGGTCTTGTCACACAGCTGAAAGATTAAGGCTGCCTCCCCAGACCGCCACCCCGAGAGAGAGCCAAAGAAAATTGCTGAGAGCTGTTGTAGCCAATCATCGCCGCTACAGATAAAATGAGGCTACAGTAGCAGCGACCAGCCAAAAACTTAATCTTAGCCCCTTATCTGTGACAGCGACATCCCCCACTAGAGGGCAAGTGGAGGGAAAAAAAAAGTGTGGTTTGGCCCCGTGGTGCCGGAATCGCTCAGGTGTGTGTTTGTGTTCGAAAGAGAGATCAAGGCAGGGATGGTTTCTAAGCGTGTCCTGTAATGCTTTAGCTGCTACCTTTCATGTTTTAGATGCAGAGATGGGTTGTATCATCAGGCGTTTATTCTCATCTCGGTATTAACTGGCTTTGTTCTGGTCCCCACCCCGCCCAACTCGTGTAGCGCGAGTATCAGCGACGCTCTCCGGCTCTATTAGGTGTGAGCAGGGAGCCGGAGGGGGCAGTAGGAGGGTTTGACACCCCATCATCTCGTCTGGGTCCTCCAGAGGTTTGGAGGGAGCCAGCAGTTTCCAGGCCAACCACTCAGCAGGGTTAATTACTGTACCAACCAGACGCCCCCGACCAGTGATCATCAGTGCCCTCATGATCCGCCAGCCACTCACTCACCTTTTTTTTTTTTAACGCTTACCTGAGTTTTATATCATGCAGTGCCTCCGAGACACTCGGAGTTCGCAGAGCTGTGCAGGTTTGGTCCCTGGGCGCCGCGATTTGAGGAGTGCAACTTTCTGCTCTGTTGCTGACAAGGCTGTTATTACCTGAGATAATACAGGAAAGGGAGGGAGAAAAAAAAA